GATCATAGCATATTGTTGTGCTACTAGTTCCTGTTTTGTTTAGAGCGTATTAAAGCTTCTTGTTGATAAGAAGTTTAAAAGGGAGTTTAATATGGTGGCGGTAAGATAGCATGGACTTAGGATTTTACGCAACACTTCATCTTTTAGCTAGAAACAATTAGAGGCTGTTCGGTGCATTTAGTTGGTCTATGAAAATCAGAAGAAAGGGAGTGTTGAGATGGGGAACTAACAAAAAAAGGAAAGAGAGACATTTTTCGGCCTTTTTCTTAAACTTTTTGGTTTCCGTAAATAAAATATATGTGGTCATACTCATAACCGCAGCAGGCTTCCAAAGTGAAAATCATCTAGTTTACAGGAACAATGTAGATAAGAGGAAAGGATTAATTAGATCCTTACTTTCGAGAAAAGAAACGGTGCTTAGGGTTAGACTTTCCCTACTAAGGTGGGATGTAAATTTAAACTTTGCATGCATTATTAATAGGGTAGTAAGGCTAAATATATCATCCTAGTCTTGTTTAAATATGCCAGTTTACATTAAATTTTAATGCTATATATTGCAGCCGATAAGTTTTTATAGTTACTATTCGGTAATTAAAAAAATATTAAGATTCAATGACTTTAGAGCTTTGTTTTTGACTCTCATTGCTTCATTCCAGTATGTGTCAAGTACACCCGTGCGTTTTAGAATACTCCTCATCTTATCACATATAGGTTACTTTTCCTGTTATTTATCTACTTAGAAGTCTTTCCAGCTTATAGTAAAAATGAATTTTTATTTTTTAATTCCATGTATCTTTACGTATTACTTTCAAGATGTTTTTATTTCTAAATTATATATATATATATAATGTGTTTATTGAAGTGTTTGATATTTTATGTTTTCTTTATCTTTTTAATTTTTACAATAAACTCCGAGTAATGTCTAAGGTAATAATTTTCCCTGGGGTCCATCCTGAGTATGATAGCCTGATACATGGTATCAATTAAAGAAAGTTCATCTAATGATTCATTTAACAATGTAACACTTTGTTTTTGGACCCATCTGTTTTAGTATAGCTAATCAACTATAAAACTTGAGATTGTAAACGAGTTTCTTTGCCAAAACATTAGTTTTTACTTTTGTAATTTATAATATTAATTCTGTAACTTCCTTTTTAATAATCGTTAATCTATTAAAAGATATGGGTATACTCTATAATCTACTGCCAATTTAGATCCGACAATTTTTTGTGGTAGCTTTTTATGTTTTTCTTTACAAAACTTTTTTATTCCTATAATTCGGCAAAATTTTATCCATTATATAAGAGATATATAAATTGTAGATTGATAATCCCAGTTGTTAAATTATTACAATAATGGGTTTGTATCCTGATTCTCGCTTCCGAGGTGCATACCTTAAGGTTTTTTTTAGTAACAATATTTTAATGTTGTCAAAAAAAAAATTTATTGTAAAACAACTTATCAACGCAATTATTAGTAAAGTCCCACAAAATTTTTAATTGCTGATTTTTTTAAAAAAAATTTGATGTTCCTTAAAAGCTTAGTAATATAATTATTGTAGACTGTAACTTTATTAGCGTACTTGTCTTTGGTTAACAAAACCCCTCCAGTTGTTCATCCTAAAAATTCTTTTTCCCTATATGTGCTATGTTTCCTTCCTTGTTTGCCAAGTCTAAATTTTATTGACGAATTTTTAATTTTTTATTATTATGGTATCTTGATACAGCACTAAATCATAAATTATATAAGTAAAAGTAGGGATAATATCTCCAAATATATATATTGTACTGTGGTAACGCATTTTTAGATCTTCTAATGAAATTTGCTACCATTACGAAAACTATTCATCAAGTACTAGTTGCCTGAGTTTAGTGGAGCTAAAAAGTAATTTCTTTAAAGCTTGGCATCGAAACTACTATTTTGATTGTGTTTACAGAGTATCTTATTAGTTCTTCTCATTTCCCCCTGCCCTGTCAGTGTTATATGTTTTGTACCTCACCCTCTAATGCTAATAACGAACGAGAAATGAAAGTAGTCGATTGTAAGCATAATTTCTACTATTTGTTTATTTTACAAACGTATTTTTCACTATCTATTTAAGTACTACTATGCTTAAAGATAATATATAATATATAATATTGACCCGCTTAGGGGTTAAGGGTTAGGGTTAGGGTTAGGGTTGAGGTTAGTTCGAAAAAATTTTTAGAGAAGTTGTATGGTTGCTAATTACCTCAATGAAAAAAGCTAAATTTTAATAAACAACTTATTATTTATATTTTATATTTACAAGTTCTCCGAAAGGATTAAAAGAAACCAACAAAATAAGTCGGTTTCTTAATATTCATTAAATACGTAACAAATGTTAAATTTCCATTTTAACTATTTTTTACATCTTTTGTAAAACCTAGTCTTCTAACAATTTTATTCATTCATTTTTCAAAATAAACTAATTTAAAAGATTTAGTATACTTTCATCTTTTAAAAACTAAATTTTCTTAATAAATGCCTGTTTTTCATTTTTTAAGTATATTTTTATAGTTTCTTTTTAATTAAACGGGGCTTACTTTGCAATGTAAGCTAATAAAAAAAATTATATTCAGTTCTTTTTAAATATTGAAGCTTTCTCGGAATTTTAAAGTATACTGAATTAAATTTTTTTTTAATTTCATTACCCTAACTTCAAAATTGCATGATAATACGAGCTTTTTGTAGTTTGTAAAAAGTAAAAAAAAAACTGGAAAAGGAGGCATTAAGAGCGAGTATTTTTAAGGATGAAAAGAAAAGGAAGGGTGTCATCTTTAAAAACTATTGTTGAAGTGGAAATTCTTTTTTTTAAGTAAAAAAAACAAACCTTTTTTACCCTTTTTTTTTAAAACAAATCGTAGATAGTTAAAATTTGCATTGAAGCTTAAGTAATATTTGGTTTCTAACAAGATACATGGCTGTTACTCTGAACCTTTTATAAAAATCAAAAATAAATTCGAATGTCCAAACCCTCAGAATGGGAGAAAATAACTAGTTGAAGAAAACTATAAATACGTGACAAAACCCCTTTAGCCTTCTAGGCTTCTCTTCATCTCCTCTTCTTCATATATATTAGTTTTTAGCAACAAGTTTACCTGTAGTGTTCAGAACTCTATATTTTGGCTTAATTATTAGCTTTAGTGTGCTACTTAAAAAATGATTTAAATAATATCTGCAAGTATTTTGTGGTAAACTGAAGGTCGTTTTTATAAGTTTACTCTTCTTTGACGTATCATCGTTATCTTTTTTTCAAATATGGCTGCGTTAAAGAAAGTAAAAATTCCCCTTAACGAAAGCTGAATATTCTATAAAAAATTTTCGGTTAAACAAATGACGCATTAGAAATTTTACGCATAATAAAATATATGGGGAATATAAAGTATCTTCGAAAACAAAAATTCGCAAACTAATTTTAGTTAATACCCATGGCACTTCGAACTAGCTATTATGTTCCAAGATGTACAAAATTGCTTCTCTACAAGCATCAACTAATCATATATAATTAATTAAAAAGTAACATAAACAAATATAAATATTATTTCATCAATTCTATAATATATTATAACCTAACAAATTTTTAGTTGAGATGAATAGAAAAGCATATGTCAAAATATGAGTACACAGAAGATATGCTGTAGGTTTCCATGGCAAAAGGAAAAACAAATTATTATTTAAAGACTTTTAACAAAGGTAATTACATAAAAACGATTTAAAGGCCGCCATGATTTTTTAAATTAAAATAATGTAGATGCAAGAATTGATACCTTAAACAGTTATCACTACAGTCACCAATTAAAACAATTATAAAATCAATCAATTGCGTGAAAACCACCTGAAATTCTTTTGCAAAATTGTTTGTTAAACGGCAGTCCTTTACAGAGAATTAATAGTTTGAAAGGATGATAAAATATCAATTTTCCCTGGAGTTGACTTACCTTATAAGTTGTTTAAATTTTCTTTTCAGTAGTTCTATGTTGTAAACCATTCATACTTAGTTTACGGCTAAGAAATGTACATAACTAATATATAAATAAATATAAACTAATATTTTATCAAATTAAAATAAAAAATTTTTTTTTTAAAATGACAACTATATGGTAGACTTCTGTTTTGTGAGACTATTTGACCAGGGAAAGTTTACTTTGGTCTATCCTCAAACTTAAAAAAGCTTTTTTAATCTAGGAGAATAATTCCTCTAACACCTAATTATTTATACCTTTCACAATATTAGTTAAAAATAATTTGCCGGTGATAATTTCAACTCTCTACTTAATTGCACTGGTCACAAGCTTATGTTTTCATGGAAGTATTAAAATATTAAAGGTTTCTTTTTATACAATTTTTTACTTATATTTACTTTCGGTTGTCTTCAATACTATAATATTACTATTGAATCAGCAAATTTCAATAAGTATCGATATATGCAATAAGTCGAGGTATGATGGAGGAAAGAATTATATTATTAAGTAAACTTCAGTGTAAAAAGTTTAAGGCTTTTAACTAAAGATTTTACTTAATTAACTCCTATCTTTTGACACCTATCTTCTTTTAGTAATGGCATGAGGAGATATTTTTCTCATAATGTTTATATTTTTAAGCAACCATGCTGTAAAATATAAGTACACTATTTTTTCGTGTTGAACAAGGTGTAGAAAATCTTTATATGCCAATAAAACCATCGAGGAATAGTGTTAAAATGTAGGTAAGATTTTTACCTATCAGATAATTACACGAGCGACTCCTGGTTTAAATCACTTTCAAGTACAACACTTAAACAGGGCCTACCCTAGTTTAATAGCTTTCTCTCAAAGCAAATAAAATAAGACAAGCCCGACTAAATATTCCACACTAAACAGAAGCCACTTTGGCTCCTCGCCGGGTGTAACCCGCAATTGTGAATCCACGTGTTACTCGCTTGAGCTTTTTTTCGCTTGTCCAACTAAAAAGTTTGCTAACTTTCTAAATATTAGCATAAATTTCAGAAGGAAACATTTGAGCTTGACTTGTGGTCTGTTTGTATACGTGACGGGCTTCATTGCTCTCCCGTAGATTTCACCTGCAAAGCCACTCCTGATTCTTTGTTTTATAGCATCTCGGGTTAGCATGTTTTTACCTCGTTTTCTTTAATTATGAAAATCAGTTTCTTGCCAAAGTTACTGAAGCAACCCATTTATTTTTTAAACAGATTTGACTCATGAAACATATAACGCTAATTTATGTGAGCAATATGTCTGGGGTATAGTATATCTTTTTTTTTTAATATATCTCTAACGTATTATACTTATATATAACTTTAGCACGAATTTGGGCCATTATAGAACTTGTAGTTTGTTTTTTATCCCTTGCTCTCAACCTATTTCTTATTTATAATAAACGGCTATCTTTTCATATGTTTGGGTATATTTATATAGTTTTATATACATCAATAGATTTTTTTACTTTATAAGTAAGTTCAAAAGTATAATTTATAGTAGTTTAATGATTAACTGTAACAGATTTCTCTGGAGTGTTCTCACGTTTTGTGTGACTTCTCGGGTTAATTTTTTAATTATTTCTTTTGCTGAGCTGAGCAGAATCTTTTTTAAAAAGAAGGAATATTTTTTAAAACCCTTAACTTTTGTACACGCGGTTATGGTATTTTGTACTTTTACCGCACTACATCTTTGCTTCATTAATTATAGCCTTTTATTAAAAAAAAGAAAAATTATGAGGGCCCATGAGGACCTAAATCACTGTTCTTCTTTTTAAGCATATAAATAAATTATATAAATTTTGATTATAATAAATTAACTTCACTGCAATTTGACATTTTCGACACCACTTTTTTATTATTTACATATTAAAGTTGATTTTCTTTAAAAAAACAATTAAAAGGTTTAAACTAAAACTGTTATCCATCTTATAATTAAGTTTTTGTAGCTTTACTAAGCCACTTAATTCTGATTCTTCGCAATTTGACGTATAAAAAAAAATTTTAAAGAAATTTCTTAGTCAGCTACTCAAAACCTTTATTTTTGGGAACAATAGGTTGTTAGAAAGTTAGTGGAATTGCCAATTGCCTTTTTACAGAGGAGCACCCTCTCATACTTTAAAATAATGTAGTATTACAAATTAACATTTCGTTAGCTTACGTAACACTTCTGCTTCGTTAATTGCTTCAAACTACTACAACAAGGCCACAGCGTATAGTCTTCGCTGGATGAATGTTCTCCTTTAGAATGGAAATGGTGCTCGTCATAATGCAAAGAGACTACTGCTGTAAAGAGTTTTTGTTATTGCTAACTTTTTATTTGCTTCGCCAGGAACTTAATGGTTTAATTTAATAATTCTATCCATATATCGTTTAGATAAAACAAAATGAACAATAAAAAATTGTGTGCCTAATATTCTAAATTCATAGTTTACCGGGTGAAAACAGGTTACAAAGGCAATTTTAATTTTTTTGTATTATAGGCTCTGTGCACTTTAAATTAACTTAGAGATAAATGCGCATTTAGTTAAAAGTTAGAGAAATAAATAAAAATCATGTGGAAGCCAATGACGTCGTTCTTTTACAAACGTGTCTATAAGCGCGTGAGCGCGAGCATTGTACGAAATCATAAATAACGTACTCACTTGAAAGCGTAGCGCAAGGTACAGTAGTAAAGAATTGTCTCACCTTCCTTTTTAGTTCACAGTTAAGGCACAACATTTAAGTCGTAGGAACCACGAAGTCGGTGTTTCGAATAATATCATTTAAAAAGTACAGTTTATTTTTCTGATTTAAAAAGTTCTAATATTTTTGTCGTATTAGGTCATAATGAAGAAAATATTTCATTCCTGGTTTGTATACATTTACTTAAGGTTACATGCATCTTGACTGACTAATGTAAAGTGATAAACTTTTTTTTTGGATTACTAAAATCAAAGTGAAAATATAGTGGTCTTTATAGTATAATCAAAAGTATAGCATTATTACAACTATAGCCGTTAATATATTAGGTGAGCTTTAAAAAGTAAACATTTCCCATCACCATTTAAGAAATACGAATCATTGGACTCCGATTTCATGTTTTTGTAGCTGGAGGTATAAAGTTTTTAAACATTCTTGTTTTCTAAGTTGAGGAGGAAGTGTTGGGGGCGCTGTTTAGAATTAATTACTCCAAGTACTGAAAAAAAAGTGGATAAAACTGTTTATAGACGCAGTTTGCTTATTGATAATAACACTGAATATATTTCCGCAGCAAGGATGTTGACCAATGAGAGTAGACTACAGCCCGCACCCTTTAATTTGTTATTTAGTCTTGAAATATATTTAATCAAAATTATAAATTACAGATTTTCGAAACTTTTATAATATTTTGTATCAATATATTCTTTAATTAAAAATATGGAAGGCGTTTTAGCCCTGCTTGCGCTCTTTGTCGGTGCTAGGGCCCTCAGTTTATGAGGTTGAAGTAGTTTAATATCTTGTTTTGCAGTGACGTCGTCAGTCTGAATTAGTAATGGCTGTAATATTCAGTCTTGGACACTACTACTTTACAAATCCCTGTGCTCCCACGTTTAGACCATTTAGTTTTTTTTTTTACTTTTTAACCTTTTACCGGGCAAAACTCTGAGGTTTAAAATAAATTTGTTTTGCGTTCACTGGTAACTAAATTTAACACTTTTTTATGTTTTGTTGGCTGCTGCTTAACCCTTTAGAACATAGTACTCAAACTTCCCAGAGATTGTTTTAGAGACGTGCTTTTCTTTTAGGGTTAATTTCCATATACCTACTCGTGCAAATGAAACTTAGGCGACAAGAGGTAAACATAGTAATCAGTAACCTATAAGGGTTCATGGGTATAAATGCACTTAATCGGCTATAGGAGGGCTTCCGTTTCCTTATCTCTTTATAAGCTAATGTAGTCTCTTGTCCTCTATTCTATTCTTCTCTGTTCTTAGTAACTTTGGTCAGTTATTAATTGATATTAGTTCTGTACTTTTCTTTTCACCACAAACTTTAATGGTAGAAATAGTGACGATATTAACTTTGTTAAATGCTTATGAAACAGAGAAGAATAGGATAAAGAATAAGGAAACAACATTAGGTCGAGGAGAGAATTAACGAAGAATTAACGAAACTTTTTAATGTCCGCCAAAGTGTTAAACAACACAATAGAAATTTTTAGTGAACTCTAACGACGGACACTATGATCTCACTATAAAAAGGCGAAAAAACAGTTTGAGCACTAAAGCAGCTTTGAATTTACCATTGAGTTAAAGTTTTGAAGTGTTCAATAAATTCTATGTGAGTACCTTTCAAAAGTTTTAGTTGGTTTTTATTGTGACTGCAATTTTGTTGTACATGTAAAGACACCATAAGGCGAAATCAAGCTTCTATAACGCTATATTAGGCAACCACAGGTTTCCTGGGGGACTTAACCTAAGTATTTATATTTACTTGCTAGTGAGGAGTGGTCTTCATATAATAAACTGTTAATCCTTTATATGTTTACTTTTATACACACTTTCAAGCTACGGAAAAGCAAGATATAAAAACTTGCCTAGACAAAATATAATATTTTGACGCTATGTTTTGTTATACTATTGCAAAGATGGCTAACAGTCTTCTATAACACTGACAAATGAAGGTTTTTTTTACCTTTATATTAGCTTCCTATATGGAATATTTTTACTTGCTAGTGGGAAGTTGTCTTTTTATGATTAACGGTTAACCTTTTAAGTTATTAATCTTTTTTAGCATGATTACTAATTATCTACTATGGAAGAAAGGCAAGAGAAAAACTTAACAAAACAAAAAAAAATAAGAGATTAAAATAAAGTGACGGATGCATATACCTCTTTATTTGACATATACAAAGAGCCTCTAAGTAAATGATTGGTAGGGTAAGCAGGAAATACCCTGAGCATCTAAGCGATGACTGTATAAAAAATACTCTAGAATTAATATATAGAACTTGAAGATACCTTAAAACTAAAAATACCACCCACTGACCGCTATCTACATAAAGCTAGGCAAAAATGTTTAGAATGGCAAGAAAACTGGTGGTCTTAAGAAAGTAGCAATCCTCCTGAAGAGGGTCCTTAAAGTGCTAGGTTATCACTACCGATTTACTACAAGTTTAAAGCTAGAACCGTACAGATAAGCTATGTTCTACAAATAATAACCTCTCTGATATATTAACCAAAGTAAGCCCCCCACCTCCCCCCACAAGTTTTCGAACAGTTAATTCATTTATATCCAGAAATCCAGAATGTAATAGGAAGGTCAAGGGTGGTGTTAGATAGTAACTACCTATTTACTACGTAATAAAACTTAATTTTTTTTTTCTTTCCCAAGTAAGAGAAAATTTTAAAAAGATTATGTTTTATCAGTAATAGATGTAGTAGCAGTTTTTAGATTACAAAAAAATTTTTATACCCCAGGTCTCCACTATGGAAAATACCGTGATCTCGATTAATTGGTTTCAAAGTCAAAAGTTGTATAAATTTTTATTTTAAGTCAACTCCAGTTTAAAGTAGAAACCATAGCGAGTTGTGCCTAGGAACATTTAGTAACACTTAGAATAGTAGAGGGTTATATTCCCTAAGAAAATAGAAACGAACTTCCACATGAGACCATTTACGGATGAAAACCTTTCGTCAACTCCAGACTGCCCGCAGGAAGTCGCTATGAATAACACCAAGGCTTGACCAAAATTGCGTAGTAACCTTGGGTACAAAAAACAATCCTTACTTTACTTCAGAGTGTACAAAATGACACAAAATTCAAGTATAAAACTGGCTAATAGTCAGGTTTACCGTTAAAATCCCAACCCACACTCCTGACATTGGATCTTAAAGACTGCCAAAGCGTACCTCGCGGTGTCGCAATATTAAAAGGGCCGCTCAGCCTCAAAAAGCTCGGCGGAGCAACGAGAGAGTAGCATTTTTTAGAGATCTTACTTTTCCGAAATGACTTTTTTTTAGGGTTTATGAAGTGTTACTTAATAATAATGCTAGTAGAGAGAAGTTGTTGAATAGGTTGCACTAGCTCCTCCGAGAAGTAGGTCGAAACAGTTTAACTACAACAAGGACGTAACTAATAAAAGCGGCGCCCAGGTAATAGCACTATTGCATTAATACCATTTCAGGGTGCTATGCTAGAGAGGTTACATTAGATGAGAAGGATGCATCATACTTTTGGCCAATTGTCAGAGCTAAATAGCGAACCCTCTAACATGTTAATAGTAGCACGGCCCCTAGAATCGAGTCCAATAATAGTAGTGCATATTCAAACCCCCCCTAAATTCCTCTGATTATTAGAGTAATTAAAGTAAATCTTTAGCTTTCTTTTGAAATTAATTACCAAAGAACCAGTACTGTCATAGCTTAGAGCAAAGAGAGTTAGCCAAAGACCAACTCAGCTATTTTTAAAGTCTCTGCCGGATTCGAGGGCACAAAAACTAAGATTAAAGGGTGGGCAGTTACGCTTATAAGTCAACCACGGGGGAAATGATAATTTGACTACCAAGAGTAGGTAAGACTCATAACTTAGTGAAAGAAGCATGGGTTCCATTATTCTTACGAGCTCAGAAGGGAGATG